CACGTCGTCTCTACGCGCCAAACTGCTAGTATTGCTACTAGAGATCGAGGTGAAACTATTACTAGCATTGAATGTATTGCCGCTGATGGCTGGGTGATGTTTCCGTGGTTTCTAGTCAAAGGTAGCGTCTACATAGAAGACTAGTATAGTAATATGTCAACCTCTTCTTCGGCGTACAAAATTATCCACTTAACGTCTAGTGGCTGGACGGATAGTGAGACTGCTTACCGATGGCTATGCTCATTTCATGAAGCCACAAAAAACCGCGTACGACGTGGGCGACCGAGGCTTTTGCTAATGGATAATCATACGTCTCATACAACTATCGAATTTCTCGATTTTTGTAAGGAAAACCTGATTATTCCTTGGTATTTTGTACCTCACACGACTCATATATGTCAGCCCCTTGATGCTGAGGCTTTTTTAAGCCTAAAACATGAGTTTAAAATGGCGAATACTGAGGTTGTGGCGTGGGGTGGAAGCAACGAAAAACGCGATTTTTTCCGCAATATTGACGCCGTCCGACGCCACGCCTTAAAGTCCAAAACTATCCAAACCTCGTTTAAATCTACTGGTATCTGGCCACTAGATCCGACACAAGTTTTGGGTAATTTAGGGCAGTATTCGGACGAAGAGACCTTACGTATGTACGACGAGCCGTCACCCACCCGCGAATTCCCAAGTTCAGCGACCAATTCTCCGCCCAATTCTTATGCGCGTATTGAAAAATTGGAGAAGACAGTTTTCCCGCTACTTGATAACCCGAATCCTGATTTACATAAAATTCGGAAGCATCTACGGCGCGCAATTGATGCCGGAAAATCGTCTCTATACAATGCGGAACTTGCTGAGATGAGTCTTGCGCGCGCCCTTAGCCATAAAACGCCTGGGAAAAAACCTACAAAAAGCAAGCGATGGGTGAAGGGTGCTACAAAGAGTCCCCTTTCATCGATTTCAGGCAATAGGCTAGTACAGCGAAGGTGTGAGAAAGAAGATGAGTCGAAGCTTCGTGCTTGGCGGAAAGACGCAGAGAAAATGGCGGCCGATTTGGCGGCTAAGGAATTGGAGGAAACACTTGAAAATGAGGAGGTTGATACATTATTGGCTAATGAGGCTATTGATGGGCTTTATTTCATGGATTCTGGACCTTATACGTCTAAAAAGTGAGCTAGAAGTTGAAGAAATTGAAAATTTGCATTATGGCTGTTAATTGCATTATGGCTGTGGGACACCCCCTACCTGGAGGGTTGGGGGTCGTCCCGTGACACTGCTATACACAAATGTCGATTTGCATCTCTCCCAGAGCCGTGAAAATCCATCTATGTACTTTGTGAAACTCATCCAGTTGCTTCGGGGCTGCGGGCTAGTGCCCCACCGCAATGCAGCTACTGAAAGGTGCTAAACCAAATAGAGTTCGGGGAAGAGACTTTGTGATAAAAGCAATGAAACAAATTTCTATCCATTTCGTACGACTTCGCCCCGTGTCTCACTCCCTCCTCTGGATTGATACGATGTTTTGGAGGGCAAATGCGCCTCCAAATCCACTACATTAACCGAAGACTAACGCCCGCTAGATATAACCAAAGCCGAAGAAAGCAACGTGGGTGTTAATCGTCGGTTCTCCCTCTACAATAATACAAGAGGAACGATTGTGGAAGGGGAACCAACGACTCAACGAGCCATTTGCACCAGATAGCAAGCCCCACCAATCAGCGAGCTCCTAAAATTCCAACGTGTCCTGCTGATGGGTGGGGCTCGCTTTATCTACCTATATCATATAACTATTTATGGCACGGGTAGTAGGTAGACCTTCTACGCGAAGCCAGCTGCCACTATTAGTTTATAAAAGCCACTCTTTCCCTATTTTTTAACTAGCAGAATACAGCAGACCGACATCCAAACTTCTTATTCTTTCCTCACGTCAAGATCTTGGTACATAGTCAGTGGTACCTTTCGAATCGAATTTCCTTACAATCTTTATTCACCAGTCCGAAAAAATCACGACCCAAAAGATATGGCGAACTGGTCCTGGCTCCTCCTTGTCTCTCCTATTTTATTCCAAATCGCAACCGCTAGAGAATGTGTTGGTGGATGGATCAATTGTGACTACAAAGATGGTGGAAAGTGTTCCGTGCAGTGCTCGAGAGGGCCGCTTGGTGGCTGCGGCTGTCCAGACACGCAAGTAACCTTCAACTCTGCTAAGAACACGTTTGGGACCACAGACCTTGCAAAAAGCGCCTGCGCCTCCGCTTTTGATAAGAGGGACGGTACTTGCTTACTTCGTTAGACTGTAAGTATTAACTTCCCCCTAAATAATCACCCTTCCCTAGGTTATTTGTTTATTTCTCTAAGGTGGTTCACGACTAAGAAATGGTATTTAGGACGAGGCAGGATGGTGTCGAGAAATGGAGCGGTAACGTACCGCTTGGACAGGGGTTATACCGAGTGACCCATTCTTACATTCATTCTTTCTTCAGTCAATCAACTTTTGCATTCAAGATTGGTTCCGCTTGAGCTCTTCCTCTCCCTCATTCGCCTATCTGGATTACTAGGCCATACTGTCCTGGCTTGCTCAGACAGATCCTTCTTCTGATCACCCCAAGTGGTCGAGGCACACCCACGGTGGCTGGCGGGGGCTGCGGGTCTGCGACACCGTTTTTGTTCTGCGATATCCTTCTGTTCTATCTCCGATATACCCGTGGGTTTTTAGGATCTCTTTCAGTTCCCTCTCACCTTTTCACTCTTGAGGAGGGAGATCCTCATTCATTTTTCTCACCCTAGGGTGAGAAGACCTTCGCTTTTCGATCACCCCTGATACGTTTCTGGGTGCGTATATGGTGAGAAGTGTCTGTGCGGGAGGTGTATCATCTGTCCATCCTTCTCTCTGGACCATGGCAATGTTTTCGTCCTAGCGGTTGTATTGCTTTCCAGGGTCCCTCATTTTTTGACAACATTCACCATGTTTCGACCATATTTGGCCACCTTTTGAGACCTGGGGGCCCCTCTGGCTCGAGGTGGCTCCCAGCGCAACCTAGTAGACCTGGGCAATGTTTAGGCTAGGATAACGTACAGACGCTTGATAAACTGTCTTAAAACATTTGAGTGTAGATTCGTGTGCAGTATCGGGGAAAGAAAAGAAAACATGTATTATCCTACCATAACCGAAAAACAATATGGTTTCCATCTACTCCATTTCCCGCGCTCGAGAAACGCCTTCAACGGCTGTGTGATTTTGACCTCTAATAGGTGCTCCACATTCAGGGCATCTAGCTTGCTCCATCGGCATACCGCACTCTCTAATAGCAAACTACAGAATGACTTATTTAGCTTATTTGACTCGTCAAAGGTAACTTGGGACAATTCGAGGAATGGGAAATTTACTCACCGGATGTCCGTTGACGCAATTGTACCAGTGCCCAGAGTGAGTCGCGATTCCTCCTCGCCCACTAACCATGGCCGTCTTGATTGATTGAAGTTCTTCTAAAGTGACTGTTTCGTATCGCGTTCCCTCATAGAGACGGACCATCTCCTGGCCCTTTTGTTGGAGCTCAGGACAGTTCCCCAGTTCGTTGCATAGTTTTAACGCAGCGGCGAGGAGATCGCGGGTGGTTTGAAAGCGATCTTCGAGCTTTTCTAGACCAGACTTTCCTTTGAGATGTAGATCGGTTGTTGTTTCTCCTGGATGAGAGCGGTGATACCACGCGTCCAGCTGGGCGATCTTGGCGAATGAGATGGTCGCCGTGATGACGATGCGGGAGAAATTTCCTTCATTGGCTTGAGTTATCAAGTCTCGGCAATCCTTCAGAACTTGAATCAAGGTTGATGATGGTTTGGCAAAGCTTAGCCATGGTAGTGTTGCAGTTTTTCCGCTGGAATCTATCACTCTAAAGGCATCGCTAAACATGACTTCCTTAGACTTGGTGTAAATTAACCGTGCGCCAAGGGTGATTTGGTTGTCGGATTCTCGTGTCGCTATGTTCATCGCCTCCATTCGGGCTGAGAGGGAGACTACTTCGCCCCTTGGTGACTTCTGATAGATGGAAATCGCATCCATGAGCCGTTTCATCGGCTGATTCTCGGCCTCCATGGCTTTGCTGAGAGCTAAAGCCTCCGTCGCAAGGCGTGCACAGGCTGCATGTCGTGCATTAAGCTGTAATTCAGTGTCCCCCACCGCCATCAACGCTTGCTTAGAGTTGAGGTTGTCTTCAATGTCAGTCAGACGCGATTCAAGGCCTTCAAGGTCTGTGCGACCCTTGATAAGGAACCGCTTACAAGTCTCATCCATAACAGCACGGTTGATAACACGATTGTAACGTTTCGTCACAAACTGGCGAATGGGCTGCTTACAGTCCGGGCACGATGGTATGACACTGGCAAGAGAAGAAGAGACATCTCGGAGACCGTCGAATTTTCCATCTTTATCTCTCGTGTATACTTCATCCAGGCCAACCAATCCATCAACCGACTCAATGGTAAAGAAATCGCCGCATCCAAGCACGATGATAGGAGTTTCATCGAGACTGATTTCGGAATAAGTTTTCCATTCGAGGAAGTCAACACGGGCGTCTCCCTTGTCGCCGCACTCTTGACACAGATTGTTTGGACAGTCTTCCCCGCAGAGGCTCGGGCATTGATGGCCGCATTTGAGAATCTTAGTGCATCGCTCATTGCAAGGAAGCCGGTCGCATATTGCCGCGCAAGGCATTGAGCAGGAGCCTTGGTGTTTGCAGGACCAGGCGCATCTCTCGATGCATGGTGCACATGCCTTTCCGCAGGTCAAGTCGCATGCTGAGTGTGAGCATCTAATCTGTACATATGATTAATATCACCGATACGATGACAAGATGATGGATTCTAGGAATTCTTACTTCGCATTTTGCCTCGCAGTAACCACAGCTCTCCCCATTATGACATATCTGGGGACACCTATGATTGCAAACACCGTGGGGGCGGTCGCATCTTTTTGTGCACTTGGGGTGCTTAAATACTCTTCTTCCGTCATGGACTTCCTGGAGACAATTTCCGCAGCAATCACTGCAGTTGTGGCCACAGCTGAGAATGTCGGTGCATGGCTTAGGGCAACGGAAGATCAGGGACGTGACGTCTTTGAAACACCCAACCTGAATTGTATGGCCACACTTAGGAACAGTCTTTTCGACCTTGACGTCGCATTTAATGACTTTCAAGTTAGGCATCTGATGGCAAAAGATAGCTTTCTTGATATGACTACAAGGAAGCTCCACGTCTTGAATCTTCGCCATGCAAGGGCCACAATCTTCACCACAAAGCTTGGGACATTTGTGCTCACAGGTTGATCGAATACGTGGGCATGGTTTCCCACATGCAAAGCCATCATGCATGACCGCCGAATGGCACTTAGCCTAGCATAGATGACCACATGGCTCGAGTCGACGGGTGCATGGGAGACTGCACCCACCTTCAGGGCTCTTCCTCTCAAAGTCGTGAGGCTCATAACAGAGAATAGGCGTGTCTGGGTGGCGAGGACAACAGAGAGCCAACTCTGCGCCGACTGCATTCGCACGGAAGAGCTGGGAGTGGACATCGGCCCACATGGGGACATTGAGGTATGTTTCGGCATTTCCAATAAGATACATGCCGTGCTGAGCTCGACTGAGGAGCACGTTGATGCGGTTTTCGGTGCGTAGGAAGCCAACCTTGCGCTTTGAGTTGCTGCGAACTAGGGAGACAACGATCACCTTTGCCTCCTCGCCTTGGAAGTTGTCGACAGTAGCAAGGCGGAGCGTCTGGAGCAACGTTTCCTTCTCGATTGCCTTGTGACCACATGGCTCGGGATTCTCATCTTCAACCTTCTCGAACCCATCCGCGGCCAAGGTTTCCAAGTCTCGCTCACTGAGACAAATCTCGAAATCATTGCTGAGCGATGTCCTGAGCTTCCGCAGCTGCCCGGTATAAGGCGTCAAGAGAGCAATATCTGCGCTCTTGCACTCTCCCTGCCGAACAAGATGCCGAACTAGTGCAGTAGCCATATCGACCTCCCACTGATTGCTATGAGACTTCATGCGGCTGCCGTCATCTTCAGAGTCTTCACCGCGTCGATGGTCCAGCCAAAAGAGGTTGTTCCGCATTCCAATAACATTGGGTAGAGTCGTCACGCTTTCATGATCCTCGAGTTTTGGGTAGATACTCCTGATAAGCTGCGAGATCTCAGGTCTCATTCTTCGCTGTACATTGAGCTGCGCAACAGGGGCAGGCTTAAGGCCTGGCTCACCGACAGCGCGTCTCTCAAACTGGCTTCTGTCAAGCTGCCATGACTTCCCTGTAGATGTTTCAAGACTGAGTGTATGATTTTGAATCTGTGGCCGCAGCTGTCGGTGATCTCCAATCTGAATAAAGTGCTCAACGCCTGGCATGAGGGCTGACATGACGTGGGCTTCCATCACCTCAGCTGCTTCCTCGCATATAATGTCCTTTGTTCCTGTGCGGCGCAGTGTCTCGATATGGCGCGCAAGGGCTGTTGTCGTGATTCCTACCACATCTGCTTGAATCAGGGCTCGGCGATTGACCTCTTCATGGACTGCATTGATGTCCTCGCGAAGATTTGCAGCGCGATCAAGAGCCTCGAAAAGTGAGGCTGTTCCGGTGTCCTGCCATTGTTTAAACAAGCTCATTGCAAGGATCCGGCGTTCCGGAATCGACAGACTGTGAATATTTTCCTTGGCCGCGCGTGTGAGACCTTCCAAGCGGACATCGTCAACTTCACTCTCGTTCTGGTCTCTCTGGAATTTCATCGATTTGGCTCCAATCCAATTGAGTAACTTATCATTAGGGACAGTTGTGAATCCGTCCAGGTCGGGTCGCTCCAGCTGTTCATGTATAATGGGCCATTTGCGGCGCAAGAAATGCTCCATCGCGGCCCAAGACAGGCCTTTCTGAGACTGGTGTAGAGGTTTCATTGCATATCCAGCTTTTTTCATACAATCCTCAAGTCCCCCGTAGGACATGCCGAGGGTTTGCGACTCTACCCTCGTCTTCCCAATGTCTTTGCTGACAACGCGAAGGTTCTTGCCTTCAAGCTCAGTGGCCTGACTGCGGCCGCCAATGCGTATGATAATCTGGATACCAACATCAAGAAGATGCTTGAAGAATTGGTCCAAGGCATGGTTGGTATAGCAACTGTAATTTCTGTAAGTAAAAATACGAAAGGGCATGAGATCAGTGCTCACATCGCAATAATCGGGCCTAGCTTCGCCTTTTCCTTGATTTCAAGAAGAGCTTGAACAAGCTTAACACCCAAATAGGACTTTCCGGTGCCCGGCGGACCTTGGATGAGGGCATACTCTCGAGTGAGAGCAGCGATAAGTCCCTGACACTGGCCATGGTCGAGGCCAGTTTGAGTTTGCAGCTTCAAGAGGTCAATAGACTCAGGGGTACTCGGGTCCAGTGCAACCTTTTCGGCTCCAACAATTGTTATCGAAGTCAGGGGAAAGATAAATCCTGGTTTGCGCGCGTATGCCGGTGGGGGTATGCTGTGACCATCTTCATCATCCTTACGGCCTGGCAAGATCCATTTTTGGAATGCCAACTCTCCTTCGAGTTGGATTCGCTGAAGGTTTTCCAGGATAGGGGCGAACGTGGCAGGGATCAAGCCATGGAAGTCGACCAGAATACCGGTGAGCCTCTTGCTGTAAAGCCGGCACAAGAGGATCAGTTCTTGTTGTAGGCATGCCGCAAGCTTGACCGTAATACTAGGTGGAAGCCTATCAGAAACAAGACTACTCTTGTTCTGGTGCGCTCGCTCCTTGGAAGCATTCTTCACAGTGACCTCGAGGAAAATAAGCATCCTATGAGTTTCTTGGGATGTCAAGAAACACACTAGGCTTCCTTCCTCTAGTCGATTGGAGTCTTGCACCATCTACATTGCTGGTTGGATGTCTTTTTGCGGACTTGTGGTGGAGAAGCAAAGGACACGGTCGCTTCGAGCTCATTTCTCTCATTGATAAATATCTGGACGACCTGTGCTCCCAGATAGAGATGTGCCCCGCTATCTTTGCTTGAGAAATATGAAAATTGTGTCAAATCATTCTGCTGCAGCAGATTTCGAAGGACATCTTTGGCTGAGCCGAAGATATCATGGCGCAGGAGTCGGAACGTTGAATCAATGTGTCTTTGTAAAGGGTCGGGGAAAAACTGCGGCTGAAGGAAGTTGGTAGAGGGTAGATATTCTGAATTGCCGCTGACAATCTCTTCATGGGTAGGAAAGATCTAAACCTGAGAGATATCTGCGAGGTCGTTGTCGTGTCTCCCACCAGGGGTTTGCATATCCAGCGGAAAAGACGAAAGGGCTGATCCACTCTTCTGGGCATTTTCCTCATGCGTCCTGGGTGTAAAGAGTCTGCGGTTTGCGCTAGCGATCAGGCTCTGCATGACTTCTATTCTGCTTTCAAGTCCGTCAATGTCGGCCTTCGAGCATGTTTCAGTGATTTGGGAGCCCACTTCGCGGATTAGGTCGAGCAGTACGGGAATTTCATCGTGGAATCGAGCGCGTCGGACTCTTGACAAAAGTTGGTACAAGGTATTCAACAGTAACTTCGTCATGTCCAGAGAGATGACAGGTACATTTTCGTTGGCCTCTTCACCTTTACTCATCAGGCTCCGGCAGACACTTCTCAGATAGCTGATTGCTCGATCTCCATTCGTACCACCAAAGGATGTGTACAGAGTGCCAACAAATGAATCGACAGAAAGACAGTTCAAGAGAGAAGTATGGGTAATGACTTTAAGAAACGGCTCGTCGTAAGTTGGAATTGGTCGCACGGCCCCTGGATTGTCTGCATCCGCAGTTGCCAGGATAAAATCATATCCATGAAGATCGTCGTCCACAGATCTTTGGCGAGGAATTGATGATTCTCTCTGCTGTCGCTTTCAAGAATTTCAAGAGCCCCGTTCCAGAATTGAACGATCTCTTCATGTTCCCTTCGAGAATATCCAGACCCTAAGATCCCATTTCTAAGAAGTCTCTTCCAGTCGAAGTATTGATTCCGAGCGTCCAGATCATGGGTAGTGGGATGGTATGCCGGTATGACTTGAAGTCGGAAGCCTTATTCACATCGTGCGAGAATCTGCACCTCTCACCGTAGTGGCACCTGCCGCGTTGAAAGTGTACACAGAATGTTTCTGACTGATTGCGCTTCCTGAAGCTGTTGGGTCCTCCTTGGTTGCTCGTATTGCCCTGTGATCGCCAATTTCCGCAGTGAGTCATCGTGAAAGGTGACAGCTGTAGAATTTGTAGCTCTCGTGATCCTTAAAGCAGTATAAATATTTCTAACGCGGAAGGTTGCATGGATGGATGGGTGGATGTCCGGAGAAGGGAAAGAATCTTGGATACGCCAAGTAGGTATCCTCTTTGATAAGAGGGACGAAGACTGCCTTGTAAATCTGACTGTGTCCTAATGTCTTGCAGGACAACTCATACCTGCATCACCCCTCTTTTCAAAATCTCTTTACGTTGGGGGGATTTCCAATATTTGCCTTTCATCTCCGCTCGCTTTTTTGGTTCAAATTGTCAAGGAGGTTGGATGGTTGGTGGGAGGTGGCAAAATCACTCGTCCGTTGTCCGCGTGGTTTTGGTGGGGGGGCGGAGGGAACAGAGTTCATCTGAGTCTTCGCGTCGTGGTTGGGTGAATAAAAAACCGTACGGTAAATTATCATGCAGGATGATGATGATGATGTCTCGATTGACTGGCTGGCCTGGAGTGATGGTTGTAAGTGTTATCGCCAAGACATAACCCAATGCAGAATTGATAGAGGTTACCATACCCAATACCACACCCTATCTCACCCCCAGACTGTCCGAGCTGGGTGCGGAGGAAGGATAGCATGGTTTTTCGTAGAGGCCCGTCCTCCTGCAGCCTATGTCTTGGGCTGCTATCTGTCTCTAGATGGGGAACCTTTGATCGTGGGTCTTGAAACTGCAAAGGTCATTATGCGCGATTCCATCTCAGGCGCCCAGACGAAGGCAAGGCTTTTTTCTTTTTTCGCAGAAGAGCCATTCTCGCCTGCTCCTGTTAGAGAGGGAGAAGACTGCCCTTTTAAGTAGCCCTGCGTCACATGGAAAGATATGAAGAGCCGAGGTTTTGAATGAGGCTGTTCTGAACCGCGAAGTTGAAAGTATTATTGAACTTGGGCAGTAGTCCTCGACCGCTGGATAGTGGGGAACTTGTGGTTCTCCGGAAGGCTGATTGGACACGACCGTTTGGCGGTTTGAAACCACGAGCCTTTTGAGTTGCTTCAGCTATTCTGATGTCAAAGCTCGTTGCTAACTTGTTAGTTAACTAGTTATTTGACTAATAAGAAGGAAGGTGAGTAATCAAATCCCTGGGAGATCGCTTCTCAAGTACACAAAGAGGAACATTGAAGTTTCCTGTCGATATTATAGTACCTAAACATGCTAATATCTTCAGCGTCAGGCACTTTCATCAAGTTTTCAAATTACGACGCCATTCATTATTTTCTTGGTGGTAAAGTTAAAGAAATCTTGTTGCATGATAATTTTGTGATGATTCTATAGGTGACACGCGGTTCAGAACCCATCTCTAGTCCCACCCACCTGGGAAGGTTCATGAGCTTCCAGGAGCAATAAATATAGCTCCCATGCCTAGATTGTGTCGTTTCCATGGGCACTTACCGTAGTAGGGAATTCCCGTGCTCAGTCAGGGGTCCGGAATTATGTAGGTCCGAGAAGGGCATCCCTTGCATCACGGGCAGGCACCACACAGTCGGTTTTTCACTTCATCTTTCTCCGATCATAGCTTCGTTCATTTGAATTGAAGGTTTAGTAACTATATATCTCATTAATGCCCTTTCAAAATCTTTCTCCGGAGGATTACATCTCTACGAGCGAATCGCCGTGAAAGACCATCTGTTGCTCAAATTCGGGACCAGCTATCTTCAGATGTCCGCAAAACCCTATATAATGAAGAAATATTATCCATCAAGATCGAGATCTGAAGTTATCACGCATTTTCTTCATGATCATCGAAAGGAAAATGGGAAAGGACCGCAATTTTCTCCATCTCAGTGCTTGAATGCTCCATCAAACCGTCTTTGATGCTCTGGATGATAGCCCTGCACCGTTCAAGCTCATCCTCATCTGAAACCCAGCCTAGGGCATCTGTCCCGATTAGATCCCTCATCTCGCCCAGTTCCTGTAGTTTCTCTTGTTCTTGGCGATGATCCTCCGAACATTTCTGCATCTCTTCCCCAGAAAATTGAATTGGACACTCAACAGATCTCGTTTGTGCTCCTCCATCCAGCGGCATAGGCCAATTCTTGAGGACCTGTAACATGGCATACTTCAATGAGACAGAGTCCCCTTCCCAGGGAGCCTGTACATGATGAAAAAGCTTCGCTCGAAGCATACAGTTTTCGGTTCTGATGGCGTCAAAATGATCCGGCAGGGATTTCATGGTCAACGCAGCATAATAGAAATGGACAATCCGTCTCCGCATCATCTCTTGAACAGTTCCTTGTTCTTCATTGCTGAGTTTATCAAAATTGTCTGGCAATTTGACCTCTGGCTTAGATAATGTCTCGGACAATGGATCGCCCCAATTTTGAAAATGATCGGGGATTCCAGCGCACAGGCAGAGGGGTAGAATGACTGCATGCTGCCAGTCAATGATCCCTACCACGTCGTTGGACGTATTCACCAGGATATTGTTAGGTGAAAAGTCCGGATGGCGAAGAGTCGGGCGAGACATGCGGTGGCCGGATGGGACGTCGAGGTAGGGCGCTAACTTTAAATAATTGGTAAGAAGACGTTGGTACGGAATAGGTGAGAGTTTTTGGAACCGGTGTATTTCTCGTAGGTATCTTTCGACGTGTAGGCGTGGTTTGCCAAATCTTTCACAGAATTCTATCTCGCGCTTGGCGGGTGCTTCGAAGCATGCAGAAAAGGTGTTCCCTGGCTCAGAGTCAATATCCCCAAAGAAAACAGGCACTCCTGGATGAAGACTTACATGGGCCGCGGTCAACCTTCAGAGAGGCCCGTTCTCGATACCACCATTCATGCTGTGCAGTTGGGCCAACGACGATATCGTCCGAGACTGGGATAAAGTGTTGTGAACCGTCGAGATCACGGCGGTGATAAAGACTTCCGCTTGCTGGGAAGTGGATGCTCATGAATCGTCTCTCCAAATCAACAATCTGTCTCATTACTTTGACCCGAGTTTTGGTATCCATGGAGAACCACTGGTCACTTAAGGGTGTTCCTTCAAGCCTTTCAAGTAGGATATATTCGGTTCCAACGGCGTTTGTCTGATCTGGAGAATACGCAAGGACTTTTGGGACTGGGACCCCATGAGCACGCAGAAGTGCGAGTGTAGCAGCCTCACTGGCCACTGCATGATGTTTCGGGACAGTCGTCTTGTACGGTAGCCTTGCAAGAACTGCATATCCGTCATCGAAGGTGACTTGCAAGACACGGTTGAAGCCCCCTCCGCGAGTTTTGTGATCGAGGCCACGTCATTGACATGTCGACCGACAGAATGGCAGGCCGCTCTTGCAAGAGCATCCACGTCGAATTGAATACGGCGTTCAGCGCGGCGGAGCTCTTCGTTAAATCTATTTGACGCAGCAAGTCAGTTTATCGCAATTGACGCGTTCAACGGCTAACCGCCGTCACGACTCACAAAAAGCGCCCAGAAGTGTACTCGAACAGATCAGGCTTACCACCCATAGAGGACATCCTCCTGGCTAATGGCTTCGAGTATGGACTAAAAAATCTCGAAAAGCGTTGCATCTTCAAGCAGATGGTTGTCAGTTCCAAGATTGCTCCCAAGCTGCTATTATTATTTGCAGTAGGGTACTTCCAACGTAACACCTAGCCGAATTCTGGCTAACATGCGTATTACTCAGCACAAACGTGACCCTGTCGGTAAAAGTTAGGATTCTTCCCATCTGGCCAATCGCAAAGCGACAGATACAGTATTTGAACTTGGGTACTTCGGTCTAGGGTCCACTTCTTAGGCCCACTTCAAATATTGCCTCGCAGAAACGGGAAATTCAATCCAATTTAATAACTAGTAATGCCCAACTGATGATGATGATGATGATGATGTATTCATTTGCCCGATGTAGCTCGCTCTATATATATGCTGCTATGCGGGAGTGCTGTCAGGCCTGCCGACAGCTGGAAGGTGGTCGCCAGCCCACTGGGCGACCGTCAGGGAACTCGCCTTGCGAATTTCTGATCAATCGCCCTCGAATCGAAAGACGTAGACTAAACAAAAGAAATGCACGGATGCAAACATGATAAACACAAAGCCAAAATGAACGTCATTTACCCCTGGTCGCGGGTAGGACCAGGGCCCCGCTTCAACACACCATTCCCACGCCCTCTTCTCTCCAACTGTCCAGTCTTGTCGGCTGCCGCTTGCGCGCTCGCTTGGATCAAGGGAGTACAGTGGACCTGGCACTGCACTCCTAATGGGCGCCATCCTTCTTCTTCCGTCACACTGTCTAAGGGATCATTGTCTCCGCTCCTTTGTCGTCCCCTTCCTCGCCCAGAGCCGTAGGGTCGACTGTCTGAAATTGGCCTAGGAGGCCGGTCTTGACCATGAATTCGGCCACAACTGTGCGGGCCTCCGGTCGTGTGAGGAGTTCGTCCCGGTGGAGAGCGACTCCCTGGTATGAGAGAGCGCTTCTCATCCAGTCTCGCTCGTCCTGGTGCAAGGGGCATTCCAGTAGGACGTGTGTTACTGTTTGGCTGCCAAGATCGCAATCACACCGCGCTGTTTCGCGTCGGTTGATACGATTCAGGTAAGCCCCTAGGCCAATTCGCCCAGTTCTAAGCTGCATCAGAATCGATGTCGTCGCTTTGCGCAAGCCCGTCCAGTATTCCAGCGTCTTCTTTGTTGGTGCTTCAATCAAGCGTTTCGTCGGACGACTGGTCGCTTCCTTGGCCCACGTTCTGTCCCACTCCAGCTTCGCTTCTCTGCGAATTCGTCGTCTCGCTGCGGCTGCGAGACATATGTCTCGGTTGAGGGGGTTATGCAGCCCGTCCTGTTCCTGCGCCGCTTCTTTTGCGTGTTGGTCCACGATCTCGTTGCCAATGACTCCTTGGTGCGCAGGAATCCATCTGAGTTCTGTCCGAATGCTTCTGCCCGCAAGTTGTCGGATCAGGTTGAGGCATCCTGCTAGATAGACCTGTCCTGACGGCATCCGCGGTCGTCTCAGCGCCTTCAGCGCTGCTTGGCTGTCTACAAAGATGACTACCCCGTTTTTCGCCTGCTTAGCCCATGGCTCTGTGCTTTCCAGAACCATTTCAAGTGCCATCTCAATGGCTCGAAGCTCTGCCGCATATACGGTGGACGTATTATCATCTCCCATCTGGCTATGAGCATGTTGATCCTCAAGGTCCACGACCGCTGCCGCTCCGATCCTTCCATCAATTCCGCTCCCGTCGGTGTACAGAATCAAGGGTCTTTCTCTTGGGTCTTTCATCAGGATCTGGTTGTGATTGTTCACCGCAGCTTCTCTGTCCTCGATGATTACCTCTGGTGGCGCTTGCCATGGTGCCAGGACGAATGCCTTTCGACTCTCCCATTTCCTCGTCAAAGTATCCGGGGGAGCCATAAGACATCCGCCCGCCTTCCAAGCTTGCGCCTCCATCGGTGACCATCCAGCCCAGTCTCTCTCATCTGCCGGTCGTCGACGTAACATCGTTGGCGGGACAGCGAACTTTGGTCCTGTCCGTAGTCGAAGGGCCGTTTCTTTCACCAGTCGATTCATGTGAACAGAAATAGGCGGTAGGTGAAGCTCTGCATTCAGTGCCTCTGCTGCCGTAGTTCTGAAAGCTCCACTGATGAGACATGCTGCCTGCTTCTGGATTGCCACGAAAGGCCGACTGATTATGCGTGCCTTGGAGTGACTGATGAGCATAGGTTGATACCACGCGGAAACCCCAAAGAGCATCTGCGGGATTATCACCGCTTGGTAGATCTTTCGCATTGCATAGAGTGAGGCTCCCCACGTTGATCCTGCCAGGCTTCGTAGTGCGTGGAGAGAGACACCGGCCTTGGCCACCGCTTTCTCGCGGTGATGGTGGAATTCCAGACCCGGATCCAGCCAATAGCCTAGGTACCGCTCAGCCGTCCTCGTCGCTGTCACCGTGTGTCCTCGTAGAGAAAGCGATGTGTGTTGTGGGTCGACTTCCCTGGTGTTTACAAAATGCACGAGTGCATACTTCTTCGGGTCAAAAACTGATGCATGTTTCTCGGCCCATTGGTCGGCTTTGCGGCATGCCGCTCTGAGTTTCTTGATGGTTTCGCGTTCGCTGTCTCCCTTTGTCATGAAGCAAACATCGTCGACCCACCCGTTGCTAGTCACACCGTTACCGCAGTTCTCAACGAGGTCTGCGTTGTAGATGAGATATAGAATGGGTGAGATCGGTGATCCTTGAGGGATGCCTGTAGGTGTCGGGATTCGATCAGATGTGCCCTCGGGCATGCGGATCCGTGTGCTTCGGTTGGTCAAGAAGGCCCTCACCCAGGGAACGAAGTGTCCCAGACGTCGTTTCTTGAGGTTGTGTAGTAGACGTTCATGGGAGACATTGTCGTACGCTCCGGACACGTCCAGCATCAGCAGAGATACCACTGGCTTGCCCTTTCCCCATGCAGTTTTGATTCGGTCGATGATAATGTGGATAGCATGATCGGTGGATATACCCTTTCGTCCGCCTAGATGGGTTCGTGGGAGTAAACCGTTGGTTTCTGCTGCGTAGCTGATCCGTCGCGCGACAACTGCCTCCAGAAACTTTCCGAGCGTGTTCAGCAACGCCACGGGTCTGTAGGATTTTGCGAGCTGGTAGTCACTTTTGCCTTGCTTCCGGAGCACCACCGTGATTGAGCGCTGGAAATGTGACGGGTTGTATCCCGTGTTTATGCATGCGTTGAATAACTGGACCATTGTTGCTAGAACCACCGGTATCTCGATAAGCTTGTGCCAGAGAGAGTTTGGTATACCGTCTTCTCCGGGTGCTTTCCCTGCTTTCGCTCCTCGCACCGCCTCCTGTATCTCTTGAGCGGTGACTGCTGGAAACTCGATTTGCTGTGGGTACTGGAATGAGTCCGTGTCGGATAGATCGGCTGGCGGCGGTTTGGGGAAGAAGGCAATCCGGAATGCCTCTGCCTTTTGATCAACTGTTTCTGCGAGAGTTCCAGGCATTTGGGGATCCTGTATTTTCAGCGAAGGGGTGATACCCTTCTCGTAGGCCCCATCTCGGTTTCTTGCCCATTTAGCCAATCGCCACATACCCTGTGGGCCATCTTCAATGACCTGCTGGACTCGGCGCCGGTGCGCCCTTGACAAGGTTCTCTTGACGAGTCGTGTTTTTCTGTTGCGTGCTTCAGAGTAGCACATCCAGTCGTAGGGGTCTTGAGTTCTCGTATGTTTGCGACGGAGGCGACGAACCTCTTTGACCGCAACTTTACACTCGTCGTCAAAGTCGGGGTTCGACCACGCGGATGGTTTTGCCCATGGGGTTGATTCCTCGATTGCTGTTTGGATCGCTCCCATCAGCTCCTGGCATTTGGCTTCTATCCTTTGCGGATTTGCCCGGTATAGGCCTCCTGTCCGTAGACCTCCTTCGATCTTCTGGATGAGTTTCTGATCATCGGTTGCGTTCCAGTTTCTTCTCTTCTGTTGTACTGCAATGGGTGTAATAATATCAAGCACAGTCCTGATCGGGAAATGGTCGGATGCGTGTTCGATGTCATCCGCCCTCTCGCAATTGATAAGCCTGTTGACAAGGTTGGATGTGATGAAGGTGAGGTCAATCACCGACGACTGATCGTTTCGAGACCAGGTAGGTCTGCCTTGTTGGGTCGTCAACTCGAGTCCCCATTCATTGGCGATTTCTAGGAGTTGCTCGGCCTCCTGATCGAGCCTGGTCCCTGTTCCTCCCCATCTCGGGTGATGCGCGTTCATATCTCCAAGGATGATGTGTTCTCCATGAGGTCGTTTTGACAGCTCATTTCTCAGATGTCTAAGAGTATTGCTGCCCGGCCTATTGTATATGTTGTGTATGAAGAGATCTGTCCAGTCTCTGCCCTGATGAGCCTTTCTAAGTTTCAGTAACTGGTAGTCCTGTGAGACGAGTTGACACGACCAAGTGCTCGGGTCAAGCCTTTTAGACACAAACAGGCATACGCCCGGTTGGGAGAGATCCGAGGCTTGGACTTGATTGTCCTGGCCTTGGGTTGTTCCGTCGGCAGCTGCTTTTGGTGGGTAAATTAGCTGGAATGTTGCCGTCGCTGGTTGGTGTGTTGTGTGTTGCATTTCGTTCTTCCATGGCTCCTGCACCGCGACGACGTCCGCCGCGAGGACATTTCTGTCTCTGAGGAACGTTGCCATCACTGGCCACGATTTGTGTACGTTGTATTGAAGAATCTCAAACGATTTCATTGATGAGTTTGTTCGTCATCGCTTCGTTCGCTGGCCTCGTGCCATACTTCATCATTTGGGTCTTCGATTGTTGGTGCATCCGTCGTAAAAATCGGCGGAGAAGATCCGATTGGTATCGCTTGTCGCTGCTTGTATTTCAGAACCACCAATTTGCGGTATTCGGGGCTCTCCGGGTCCAGTTCGTCCTCGTCATCAGGCTCGGACGTGTTACCGGCCATGTTGACAGAGGTGAACTCGTTAATGAATTGGGTAAGTCGGTGTTCCCGGCTATCCTGCGGAGTGTCAGGTTGAGGGAGATCGGCCGGAGTGGGTTGAATGCTGAGCCATTCATTGTCGTCTGGTTGCTCGTCCATGGTGTCGTCCGGCTCGCCTGTGCGGCGCCTTTTCGAGGCCGCTTGGAGCCTTGTTGACCCTTGGCATGCTAGTGGTATCATTGCTGGTTTCGGATTCTTTGGCCTCGTTCTTGAGCCTTTTGGGCGACCAGGACCTCTTTTGAGCTGAGTAGGCTGAATAGGCTCAGTGTTTTCCTCTGGTGATGTTTCTACTTCTATTGCTGCAGCCTCCACGTCGATTACAGCATCCTGGGGGTTCCGCCGGGGCTCTTCCCCCCGTTGCTCCTCTGGAGCGTGTATCGACGCTTCGAGTCCATTCGTGGCCATGGGGTCTGCCCTGGTCGAAGTTGCTTCTTTGCCAGTGCTTGCCGTCACTCGGAGGTGCAGAGGAACGCGGTGATATGCAGGGCAGTTGGCCAGCGCTTGCTTGGCTTCGTTCATCGCTGCAACCTTCACCGGACATTCCCGACTTGTAGGGTGATGCCCTTCACCACAGTTGGCGCACTTGACTGGTATCGCTTGCCCCTTCGTCGACGGACACTCCCAGGTCGGGTGTCCGTTGGCGCAGTGACCGCATTTGAATAAGTTGGAACAGTGTGACTGGATATGCCCCGGCTTTTGGCATTTTCTGCATAGCTTTATCCGCCCCTCACGACAGAATCGTGATGCATTGTGAATTTGCTTCCCCCACACGACTTCCGAGATGATCGCGCGATTAGCCACGACTGGGCTGGTGAACTCGATCAGGATGGAGCCCTCCGCCCTCTCACCCGGACGGGTCATCCATCCTAGATACTGAATCTTAGCGCCTTCGCCCCAGTTGTTCTGCCTGAGCAGCTCAGCCGCAACGTCAGCCATCGTCTCCGGAGTAACCTTCATGGACCTCACGGGAATATGGTACGCCACCACTCCCCATGACGGTTCTTGGACCACCGAGCCTGGTCCAAAGGCTCTCAGCCACGCAGCATGTTTGCGGAGGACCTCTGCCCCTGCCGCACTGTTGGCGATCATTGCCACATCCCCCGACGGCAATTTTCGAGCAGCGACAAAGAAAGCCTGTCCGGCCAGTACCCCTGAATTCTTCTGACGGGCATTTGATACCCTCTGTCGTTCAGCCCTCTCGACCAAATCTTTTGGTGTCAATCCACGGATTTGCTCGCGGTTCATTCCGACCTTGACGATGACCTCTCGGTCCTCGCGAAGTTCCATTTCCGGTACTCCTGGTGACGATGTGCCGCCGCTCCGGGTGATAGGAGCCGCAGCCGTAGCCAAGTCGCGCTGCCATTCTTTGGCCCGGAAGTTGCGCCACGCTGCCGCAGAGTTCGCCGCGGGGGTAGATAGTGCCGTCGATAATGTGCTCGTTGTCTTTTCAATGGTATCCATTCGCTGGTTCAGACGTTCGGTGTCGATGTTGATTTTGGTCAACGCCTCGAGCACCTTGGCCATCCCCTGGCCGTCTCCCCGTTGGGCGTTGAGTGCGTACTGGCGGACGGCGCGAATATACCCAGTGACATATCGGTCCTCCGTGCCATTGTTTTCGATGTGGTTGAGCACCCTGCGGGCCCCTTCCGCGATGTCGTCCATGGATCGGGGCGGATCCGCGAGGGCCGTGGTTTTTGGTGTTCCTCTCCTGTCAGGGGGCAAAATCTGTGCGTTCGCACCCGTCCCAACCATCGCTGCCATCTCCCCTATAAAAAGGGTATCAGGTCGTAGCGCTTGAGGTTACGATTACGATGAACTAATTCACGAGGCTGTGAGACCTCTGATTGGCTAGATATTTCAAGAAAACGTTTTTGCCAAGAAAGAGTTGACCCTCAATCGGGGAGGTGTAGGAAGAAAAATAAAAAGGTGAGTTGGTTTCAATAACCCGTTGGCGCTATCATATCCACTGAAGGGACCCGCAAAATTAGCATCTAGAACAGAGCTAGTTGAGGGTAGTCAACTTCCACCCAAACCTGGAGAGAAGTCACAGCAATTGAAAGAAAGAGGGGATAAGAAACCGCTTACTTGTCATATACAGGGAACTGACCTGAGCCGTGTTGAGTCGAGAGCATCGATGGGGGCACCACCCGTCTTGAATCCGATCCCTGGTTCAGGTACCGTCTCACTGGCCTTGGGGCAGAATGCTGTGCTTGGACTCTGTAATACCCAGACGGGCCTATTTTTGCAACGGATGACCTGGAATGGTTCATGTCACCCTCGTGAGGCTGACTATGCTTCCTAATATCCACGTACTCTCCCATAGGCGTTCTGGGGTATTTTGTCGGTTCCATGGGTCTCCCCATCAGAATGATAATCATGGAAACTGTCTCGAAATCATGTCGATGGGGGTTGCGAGCCTTGTTCGCATAATAGCTTTCTTTGGCATAGACACAACTCCATTCCATCCGTGGATAATCCACTCGTTGGTCTTCGGCCAGCTGGGTGACCTGAGCGCGCTGGTCGCGGCTCAGGTTTTTGTACTGCTGTTTAGCAGAGTAATCTTCTGCTCGCTCATGGATCATCTCGCAGAGCTGTTCTTGTTTCATGCCTAGTTCGGTTCGCTCTGCGCATGCCCAGGTTGCCGCTTCATCAGGGCTAGGATCTGCTTTGTAGAATTTGTAGCCTTTCAAAACGGTTCTGGCGGGTGGAGAGGGATAGCTTTGAGATGGAAATGTCAGGTGGGACGTTTGTAGTGGCCCCAATTGACTGGTAGCAGTGGAGCATGTTTTTTGGCTGTGGCATGATTCGAGATCATCATGCTCCAAGTTGGTTGACATTCGGTGGAATTTAGAGGTTGGTGAGGGTTTGATTCAGCGAAGATCTGTATAGAGAAATTGGAAGTTACTGAGAATGGAAGCAAGTTATATACCGGTGCTGTAGGTAAATAACTCTTGGGGACACGCCACTACTTCACCCGGGTGATAAGACCGCGTCTAGGCAGCGGTCAAGCCCACCGCGCGAGGCATGCTTGTGCATCCAGCCTTTTGCGTCACAAGCGAGGTAGTGGGGTCCAATTTCCACTATGGCCGGGCTGTGTTCCTAGGAATCAATATCTGGCCCCAACCATATCCAAGCCCATAGCAAACGCCGAATTAGATTGAGGGTTGCTAATTTCGCCTAGCCCACCATCGAATCGCATTAGTCCTTACGTGATGACTGAGGAAAGATGTATGAGCCTTTCTGTGCTATTTGTATAACTTCTTAAGAGTTCGACTATCTAAGGTTCATATTTACGGCTTGATACCAACTCGGTGGAACCCAATCTTGTGGCCAAATTCGAGAGTCCAAAATGACCTATGAGAAGACCAGATGCCCCTGTCAGCTCTGCAATAGCGCCAGTAGTCATAGGTTTAGATTATAAGAAACACACAGCTAGACCTCGCCAAAACCCGCCCACAACCCAAACCCGCCCACGAACGGGTTCCAGCTGAGCGGGACCAGCTAGGTGCCCTGTCCCTATCAATTCCCTAGCTAATCACGAATATTACATAATATGAGTGTCCCCAGGAAAAGTGGGAGTGCCCTTAGCAATTCCCATGAATATCTGTAAATGTACATAATTACATGAAGACAAGCCTTGCCCGATATCTACAAGAGACTACCGAGAAACAAGGCATAAGGCATGAACTTCACATTACACAAGCATAGCAGAAGGGCACGCAGTCAACGTAACAAAGAGAAAAGTAAAGCCATGGTATGGAAGGAAAAGAAGATCAGCGATGGGAATCACCAAAAATTCGAAATCCGAATCAAAAGATTTGTAAAATTAAGCCTCATAAACAACAGACAATATTCGCGAGGGCTTCAAAGAAAGAGAAAAAAAGAGGTATCACAGGTCAAGCCCAACTCTTCACTATGCACAATTAAAAAAGGGCTTTTTGCTTAGAGGGCGAAAGCAGCGAGGGCACCAGCGAAGACGGCGCCGAAGCTGATGTCGTTACGGCTGGCACCATTGAAGGCAGGCGAGGAGGCCGAGGGGGAGGCGGAGGCGATGCCGGAGGGGATGACGGTGGAGGTGGCGGAGGTGCGAGCGGAGGACACCCAGGGGATGCTGGAGGGAGAGCTGACGGGGGCGACGGTGGAGGTCTGGGGAACGCCAGTGTACTCAGCCTCCGGGCAAATGGTGGTGGTGATCACGGTGCTCTGCACGACGGTGGAGAAGGCCGGGGTGGAGGTGGTGGCTGGGGCCGAGGTGGTCTCGGTCTCGGGGCAGATGGTGGTGCTCTCGGTGGTCTCAATGGTGGTAGTGGCGGCGCCAGTGCTGGTAGGGCCGGCGGTGCTGATCTTGATGGTGGATTCGGAGGAGCCACCGGTGGCGGCGCCAAGACCGAACTGAGTGGAGTACTGGTACTGACCGATGCCCTCGACGACGAGGAGGAGACCGTAGTGGGTGGTGTCAACCTCGAGGTCGGTGCCGGGGGTCCAGGAGAAGGAGCCGCTGTTGGGGATAGACTCAGCGATGGTCTTGAGGGGCTGCACGTTGTTGGAGGGGCCACGGAGGAGGACCAGGGAGATGGGGCCAGTGGTGGTAGGCTGCCACTTGATGGTGTAGGCCTTGCCCTCAGGGACGATCTCGTTCAGGCCAGGGGAAACAATGGCGTTGCCCGAAGGGTTCTTGGTGTAGTCGGGGCTAGTCAAAGCGGACGCGGCGACGGCGAGGGCAGAGACGATGGTAGCGGTAGTGAAACGCATTCTGGCGGTGTCGAGATTGACAAAGAGTGACTGGAGGTGGGATAACTGAAAAAGAATGACTATCGTTTTAAATGAAGGAGTTGGATGAGAAGAGAAGAAGAGGGAAGCCTGGGAGGAGACTTACTTTTCTATGTCTCCAAGTGGGGTCTAAAGCCAAGCACGGCCCCAAAACGGTGGGCCTGTTCCAAGCGAGTGACTCTGTTTACTTACCTGTATATGGCTATATGGCCATATGGCTATGGCTGTTTGTATTTGTGATTGCTTTGCACCCTCTGTATACATGTCTTGAAATACTCTGTATACATATCCATATCACATGGATTCTATACCAGACTGCAGTAATCCCACGAGGTGTAACGCCTAACAGTACTGGATAAGGCTATTCGTCAGCGTAAAACAACATCGCCCCTGATTGATGGACCTGACGATTTGATTTTCTGTGAACGGGCAGACCCTTGAATCGAGAGAATGTTCGAAGATTTAAAATACCAGTAAGATTATGGAGGATCGCAGGATCGAATGTGGGAAAGACATGGAAAATGTTCAATTTCATAACATTATACCCGTGAACACATCCTCCTACTGTGGGAGAAACATGTTTGTTTACTTATGTTACAGTATTTCCCCCTCAACCGTGGAAGGTGGAAACCCTCTTGGCACCGAATATCACCCGAACAAGTTCATGGATTGGGTCTCAGCTATTTCGAGGGATCTAGCGTTGACGCCACTCTTTCCAACCTTCCATTCCCATCGGAATTCTATTATTTATTTTTCTTAATTTCCTGGTAAAACAAAGCCACAATACCGTAGCTGTACATGCAGGGCGCCTCCCATGCAGGTACCACGCACACCATGTGACTCCCAGCCACGGGGGAACACAAACCTTAGCCCTGCACAGCAGATTCCGGTATTCACTGATATTTGCGACGGTCAGGACTATTCCCACACAACGCCCATTGACACCGTCTTAAGTGTAACCGCCTTGCCGATCCCACCCGTTCGTTAAGGAATCAACTGTTGATAGTCAGGGGGCGGAGTTTACACGACCTAGAGTAACAACAGTACCGGGAAAGAGAACAGCATGGGGTACGGACTACTGTATCATACCTTTACAGAGCCAGAAATGAGAGTGTGGGCTGTGTAGTTGGGTTAATCTAAGACATGCGAGATTAGTGTCGGACTGGGAAGTAGGGCTTGCAGGGGATATTACTTGTTCTGGCAACTCCGCTCGCAAGGTCTGCCAATATCGTCAGGTCTCGCTAAAAACGCAGACAATAAATGAACTGATGATGTTTATGTGTAAAAAGAAATTCGACGTGAGTCAGAGCAGCTTGCTCTAGTCGAAGAGTACTTTCTATCCAGAAGAAGCAAGGAAAGAGAGAACACACTGATGCCCAGAAAAAAGGAGAGCCTTGATCCGATCAGTGATGGTGGGGAAGGTCCGTACTACTGAAGCCACTAATGGAGCCTTCCAGCTTCCCAGTAAGCGTGCGCTTGGGAAGAGAGAAGCGGAAGCTACATCGGGTGGGTTGATTGATCTAGAGGATGCTCATGAGGTCCCTCTACCTGATAACAGCCAGATGCAAGCAGAGATCCGTACTTTAGAGGCATTTATCAGGGCGTCTTCCAAAGCGTTCAAGACGGGATGAAGATTTTTATATAATAATGGAGACAAAGAACAGATAAGTCATTGTCGCAGAAAACGGACAACCCTCGCTATTTCGGCAGAAATCTAGAATCCTTATTTTTCTAACAAAGAAATAGTCATCTTTATTACTATATAAGGGTATAGCTCAAATTAAGACTAAACTGAAAGCACAATACTTACAGGCGGATTGCCTACTACTGTGAATACTTAAGGATATGTTTCACACAGTACCAACAACAAACTCCTAGGAGGCTTTAGAGAATCACGGAACCCCTGTGGATCCAGCAGGATAGTGCAACTAGCGCGTATGCGAGGTGACAGGCTGACAGCGGGCCCCGGAGAGCCCTACGACTGGCTATGATTCGGCGTACTGTGACAGCTCTCTTAAGGCTAAATGAGGAACAACAGGATACCCGTACGCACTAGTACTAAGGAAACCAATTGACATGATTGATGGAAGAACTGCCAGGGGATCGCTGTTGAGAGCGTCTCATAGCCTTAGGGACAGATATTGACATGCTACGACTTGGGTATCCGGAAATGACACCTTTTACCTTACGAAACATACCATAGAGTGTGTAGGCACTCAATCAGCCTGCCATCCGCGAGGGTCTGGAAAAATGTAACTTTTCCAAGGGGCAGGTTAGCGGGTACATACCTTTTCAGATCTACACTAAATAAGGGGGCGAAATGTCCCCCCAAATCAGCTGAGCAAAATTGGGGTCAGATTTCCGCCCAATGCTAAACACTGCAAACGGGTCACAGTTAGGTTAGAAGGGTCCCGGTTCCCTCGAATGCATCCGTTCTGATCTGTATATGGATCCGCGCTGATCCGCATTTGGGGCGGATCCGGACCTAATTCTTCGATCAGCGGGGCGTATTGATCAGCTGGATTTGTCGGATTGACAGATACTGGTATGTGCTAGTATTGAGGTGTCCCATTGAGATTCATTGGTAGTTGTATCTGGATCTTGCTGTTGAAGCGTTATCAGATCTCAGGAGTCGTTCCTAGCGTGTTACGACGCTGGTATGCCGAGCGTACCCCGTCTACCATACAGAGACAAAGAGAGAATGGGTACTTGATGAATAACCCTGTCCTTAGTGGTAAAATACCACCCCCTCAGTTCGACAGGATTAACTAATCGCTACATTGATCATTCCTTTTTCACATCCGTCAGTGTCGAACTGAGGGGGTGGTATTTTACCACTAAGGACAGGGTTATTCATCAAGTACCCATTCTGTCAAGAAAAGTGGTCCTTGCAGTACTAGCTTACTCGAGTTTTAGCAGCACCCATTTTGCTTACTCATTTGCTACAGTATAACGTGATTCACGGTCTCCCGGCGACACTGCCGGTCGGGCGACCCCATAAAAAATCCCCCTCAATAATAAAACATGTTTTTTAACCACAACAAAAATGCCCCCCCAACGCTCTGAT